AACGGCACATAATGTATGCGTGACAAGACAAATGGAAACATGAATCCTGTCACCTCTGCAGCGTCTGCACACTGCCTACATCCCTCTGCTGTAAATAGATCTGCAACCTTAAGGTCTCTGACAAGGTAGCATTTGCATCATGGCTATCAGGTTACTGTGGCAACCGAAAAGAATACACCAGGGCCTTGGATGAGAGGAGAAAGACGTAGTTATGAACCGAAGTTCCACAAATGTGTCAGGTGTTGGATGATGTGGGGCAGAGAAAGGGTTAATGCTGGTTGCCATTGTTGGACCCTAATGACAAATCAAAACACTAAGTACACTTGTTTGTGCGAGCAGAGAGACTCTAAATTCCACAAATTGGGATGAATGGCACCTCAATAATCACATATATCAAGGATAATTTTCCCTCTCCTCAGTCTCACTTTGTGCACCTGCGATTTATACAGTGGGTCCAGAGTAAATGCTTATTCCTTGTGACTCGCTGCTAACTGTCAGCACAGCAGCTGCTGAGATCCGCTTTGGAGGCAATTACGTTCTGCTTTGACTGGCATAGAGGGTCGAGCAGCATTCTAAACAATGTAACTACTTTTCTAATACTATTAACACTTCTATTAGACATCAAGCGACATTTGCTTTATGTGGAAATCGATGCTATGGACAGATTATGAGACAACTGGGGTAAGACATGTAAGAAACACACTGGTCCTATGACTAATGTCGACTTGTGCCTCTTTGTAGTCGTTTTGTCTTAATGATGGTTTTGCATCTCTGTGGTCACACTTTGTCTCTTTGCAGTCAATCTGTGTTTCTTTGCAGTTATATTGAGTCTGTTTGTGGTCGTTCTTCTTATTGTGGTCATTTTTTGTGTCTTTGATGTGTATTTGTGTCTCTTTATAGCTGTTTTTAGTCTCTTTGTGGTCATGTTTTGTCACTTTGCAGTCAATTAGTGTCTCTTTGGCTGATTTATGTCTCCTTCTAGTCAGTTTGAGTCTCTTGATTTGAGTCCCCGTGGTTGTTTGGTATCTTTGCAGATGATTTGCTTCTCTTAGTGGCTGTTTTACATTTCTTTATGGTCATGTTTTGTTTCTTTGCAGTTGATTTGTGACTCTTTGCAGTCGATTTGTGACGTTTTGCAGTTGATTGGTATCTCTTATTGGTCATTTGTGTCTCATTGTGGTTTGTTTTGTCTCATTGCCGTCCATTTGAGTCTCTTTGCAGTTGATTGGCATCTCTTAGTTGTCATCTGTGCCTCTTTGTAGTTTGTTTTGTCTCTTTGCTGTCAATTTGTATCTCTTTGCAGTCGATCAGCATCTCTTCATGGTAATTCCGTGTCTCTTTGTGGTTTGTTTTGTCTTTTTGCAGTCGAGTTGCATGTTGGTTGGTTTGGTTGATGTGTGTATCTTTGTGGTCATTTTGAAATGCTGCTGGACTTTGTTGCCTATTTGTAGTTGTTTTTAGTCTCTTTGTAGTTGTTTTTAGTCTCTTTGTAGTTGTTTAATTGACTTCTTCAGCAAGAGAAGTTAACAATGATCTCAAAAATCCCTTGGACCCCTGGGTCTGTTCTAAGTATTTCCATTCAATAATCCATTCATGGTCAATGTTCTGGCAAGCTTTTCTTATCACAAACTCCTAAATATGAAATTCTTCGTCATTATGAACAAAAGAAGACAATGAATGAAGCCATTATGGGCGATGAAAGCATCACAGACAGAACAAGCGACAGCTGGTAGATTACCTTGTCTTATAACAAATGCTTCTGATGATTGACAGAAGAGGAAATACGCTTAATTAAAAAGGGTCAACTCAGAACAATCCAGCTGCGAAGAATTGTCAGGCTTATCTGTTCCGGCGGGCATATTCATATCTGTGCTGAAATAAGTTTTGTCATAGTCTGTGCCACAGCAACATAAAAGCAAGTTTGAGCTGACACGATGCATGATATAACTTTTCTTCTTCTCCCACTTGAACAGTATTATCCTCAACTGTTGAATTAAGGACCTGAATGAATACGTATATAATTACGTACTTCAACATATTTGTACTGTGTCTCCTCTGTGAACAAGGTAAAATGATGCTTTAGTGAGGCGGTAATTCATTTCAGGGTGTGATACATGTAAATAGTTCAGGATATATTTTATGACACATTTATTAAAGAAGTGCCATGTTTTTTGATACATGAAGCTATGACCTTAAAACTGGACAGTTCACTCTTCAGTCAACCATTCATTCACACTATTCATACTCACAGCCGGTGACCTTTGTTTTAACTGTGACTGTGTCATGTGATAATCTGTCACACAACATACACACATCCTGATTAAAATACACACTGATCTTGACTCATGATGTTTAAAATAACTAATGACTTATTGCACAGAACTTTTCCCACACACCTTTGATGACTTGCACTGTCTAAAAGTTTTTATATTATCTTTCCTCATTAATAACCTAAACGTTTTAGAAAAACAAAAATGCAGTGAGGTAGATAGGTGTTTTTTTCCTCCTGTTTATTTCTTGTCATCTTGTCAATGTCTGATGTTTTATTTAAAGCTGGTTAAAGTATTTGTACAGTTTGTGGTTATTACTGGAGCTAGAAGTGACCATATTTGGGCAAGAGGGTGGAGCTGTGGAGGAGAGACAAGTGGATCTGACTCACGGACTGTAGCAACATCTCCTGTCACTCAAAGTGTCCCGACTTTAAATATGTCATTCTTAAGCTTTAATAAAATGTAAACAGGTGAGTTATATAAAAATTCATCCCCCATATAGTTGTCTTGAATGTTGAAATAAGCTATAGAGACCAGAATCATTTTTTGTACCAGGCTGTAAACATGTTTATTTCTGCTATAAAGTTGGGCATTTTAACATGTGGGTCTATGGTGATGGAAACTGTTTTGGAGCCTGCCTCAAGTGACTGCAATTTTTGTCACTTCCGCATTGGCTTTTTTGCAGCCCAAAGTTTCATTGTTAGTTACATTGTTCCTGTTGGAGGAAGAAACACAGCATCACCAGTGAAATTTCAACATTAAGTCACATAGTAGGATGTAATGCAGTAATTAAAGTAGTAAACTTCCACATAATCCACAAGGCTTTGAGTAAAAATGTTTAAATACATGTAGCATCTACATTAAATTAAGTTGTAATGGCAACACATTAGCCTCAGACAGACTGGGAAGTACTGGAACACATTGTTGGTTTTGGTTTGTCCTGTTGACAATAACAGAAATACTGAGTATTTCTTTATGTAGCCTAGAGGGACAATGCACAATAATCAACATTTCTAAAGACATGCCAGTGTTAGCGAGCTAGCTTATCTTTGGACATTTGATGATGTTTTGGAACCAATGAGGTGAAAGTTAAAACTGAAATTTATAAACAGAAGACAACAACACAGGGCACAGAGCATGCAGAGCAACAAGACACAGCAGAACATTAGCACAATAATTACAGCTAAAGTATCCATTATTCAGTTCATGTAGCGATGTAGGCAACATGAAGCAACAAAGAGCCTGACGAGCTTTTTTTCTTAAAGGTCCATTGTGTAAAATTTAGGGGGAATTAGTGGCATCTTGTGGTGAGGACTGCAAATAGCAACCAGCTGAAACTTCTCCCATGTGCCAAGCGTAAAGTCCCGGTCAGACTTTCTTCCGTGTTCATTGTTGAGGAGGTTTTTACCAGGAGCAGAATTCTCTGCAAAGGTCTCTTCCTCTTCAAAACAAACGGAACACTGAATAAAGCAGTTTCATGTTACAAATCTCCTACGCTGTTCAGCTTGTCAGAGATTGGTCACCGGCCCAGCACCTGCTAATGTGTGCTCACCCTTTTTCTCTGATAACTTAAGATTCAGACATTCTAAAGGTCTTTACAGGGGGCTGAATTATGTGCAGAGGTGCTCTCCTCTCCAAAACAAACAGACCCAGTGATTTAAACCGATAAAACATTGAATAAAGCAGTTTCAAGTTTAAAAAAAAAATCTGGTGAATGGCCCTTTCTAGAGCCAGTGTTTGGTTTGTCCATTCTGGGTTATTGTAGAAACATGGTGGCACAGCATGGCAATCTCCACAGACAAGGACCACCTCCCTATGTAGATATTAATGCCATATTTTCAGGAAACAAAAACAAAACAATTCATATTTTCAAGTGATTATACACTAAAGAAAACATACTTGTTATTCTGTTTCTGCAAAGATATCCCCTAAATCCTACACACTAGACTTTTAAAGACACATACAAAATCATTACTTGGAAAGCCTAAAGGCTGTCAGTGCGTGTTTTTCATTCTTCTAAATATGGTAAATATGATAAGTGTAATGTAATAATATATCCTGATTTAAACCTAATACCAACATTTTCTGAGGCATTAAGAAGTATAAAGCCCCACTAGGTGGGGCTTTCTATTTAGAAATGAAAGATGCCCCGCTCTGTTGAGGTTTTGCTTCCTTCCTGCTTAAGAAGACATGTTTGACACCACTTCTTGAAGAAACAAATGACATGGTAATTTGTTTCCTTTAATATTGTACAAGGTACATTTTATCAGTACAGATGTACTGATAAAATGGGATTCACAATGGGATTGTAGAATATCGGGAAAATGGTAAATACCATATCATAATCCTACCTTATGAAGTAAGACAAATAAACTTTGGCTCCTATTGTGTTCCCTACCTGTATGTTTATGATATTTTATCCCTTTCTTTTGTTATGCACCTCATACTGTTTGTAGTAACAGTAGTACAGGACTGGTTGTTTCTGTAGAGTATTTGTCATACTACATGCGAATAATAGTAGTCATGGTGTTGCATAGTTGTAAGGTATGAATGACTTCTCTGTTTCTTAAAGAAATGCCCACACACACATACACACACACTGCATGTCAACATTTTTTGACGCACGTCAGCAGAAATGTTGTAAGAAACTGTTGAGTGAACTCGGAGTCTCTTCAGTGTCACAGAATGGCAGCGCCGGCCCTTTTTTCACTCTGACACTCAGTTGTTTCCTGTACAGCAGTCAGTCGCTCTGTGCCATCAACAACATGGCCATATGCCGAAAAGACAGCTTCCTTTGGGGGAAAGGTACGATATTGTTATTCCTTTTAATCATTACTTCATATTATTATAAAAAGCTGCTGCTCAAAGACAAATGTCAAGGTTGTTGTGAGATGATTTAAAATAGACTATTAGTCAAATCATTTTTGTGGTTAAGTCTACAGTCCTCACTTAAAATGCTGCTCATCTACATGTTGTTGGTTATAAACTTTTCTGTGATGTTTTGTATGCTTTGCTTGCACATATTTGACAGTTCTGTTATCAACTTTTGTCTCATTTGAAACCTGTGATACACAAAACTTGCAATGGGTTGAAACATCCTGGACAAACCCACCTAAAAATTAAGATGAATTTTACTTTAATAACCACAGTGCACTCAAAATCAACTCAATTCATTAAAAAGAGGAACAGAAGGAGCTATTTTCAGATTTCCTGTCATTCATTGACCACTTTTCTAACTAGTGGATAAAGTTGATGCATGCTGGTCTGTAAGAGCGAGTGTGGGCGTGAGGGAGGTTGTCAAGACAGTCCACAGTGCTGCTGACTGCTTCATCAAGTATATGCCACCATCCTGAACTGTGCTTGTCTCAGTGCTGATGATTGTTGCCCCACAGCTCCACCAAAACTCCCCCCAGGAGAGAAGAGACAGGGTGGCACCATTAAGATTCACAAGTTTGAGCTGCTGGATGACATTCAGGTATTGTGGTGAATATATCCCTCCAAGGTCTCACATTAAATTCCCTCATTATTCTTCTCTGAGCACCCACTCGTGGCAGCCTCAGCACAGCTCTTCACAGCACACAAAGACATTTCATTCACCAACTTTTAATTGAGATACGAAGGATATGAAGGTTATTTTAAAATTGTGGGGCCCTGAGTCATACCATTGAGTCTACTGGTTTCTGTGATGTAATGACAAACCTTTGTACAAAGTTACCATCACTGCTCTCTTTCTCAACTCCCTCCCTCAGAAGCTGAGGTTGGAGATCAATCACGTCATGCCAGATATCCACAGTCCTGAGCTGAAGGAGCAGAAGTGAGTATGAGGAAAATTTTGGAGCCGCAGCTACACTATGAGTCAGCTTGACCTCTTCCCCTTAGTGACATCAACAGACTCCCACTCCACACGTATTGCTCAGTTTGACAAAGTCATAAAGCAGCTTTATTGTGATTTTTTTATTGAAGTCAGATGTCAAAATATTTTCCATTAGATGCTGCCTCTGCAGTTTACTCTGTATACCTGCTACTCAAACCTTTCAACCTGATGCTTTTGCCTTTTTTCATGAAAACACTTCACATGTTTCCAACATAGCCCTGTCAGATTAATCTAAAAGTACCTCTTCCATGCTGCCATTTAATTCAACAATTTATCCACTTCTTTAAAGGTCCAGTGTGTAACATTTAGGTGGATTTGGTGTCATCTAGTGGTGAGGATTGCAGATTGCAACCAGCTGAAACTTCTCCTGGTTTGAATTCCCACAGTGTTCTTGTTTAGGAGGTTTTTACCTGGGGCCGAATGATCCTTAGAGGTCTCTAACTCCAAAAACAAAACAAAACAAAACAAAACAAAACCAAAAAAAAAATGCAGTTCCACATTAAAAGAAAATCAGTGATATTCATGGTGGGGCTGCTAACTACGTTTGCCGACGCAAAAACGCAAAACCCCGAAAACCTCAAAAACCCAAATGGCCTTATCTAGAGTCACAGTTTGGTTTGTCTGTTCTGGGCTACTGTAGTAGCATTGCCATCTCCGTAGATGGGTACCTGTTCCCTGTGTAGATGTGAACGTCTCATTCTAAGGTAACAAAAACTCAACAATACTTCAAGATTTTTTACACTAAATGAAATGTAGTTATATTCAATGTCTGCAAATGAATACCTCTAAATCCTACACACTGGACCTTCAAGGTAACTATTTCAACACGATTTCAACCATTCACCACTTTTAGCTAATGATTTTAGCTATTTGTCTATTACCTTAAACTACTTCAACTGATTAGCTATCACTTTTAGCTTACTATAGAGAATGTAAAGGTACATGATGCCATGTGAGACAGGGGCATAATCTTGTGAGGTAGCTTACGTTATCTTTGTTACCAAAGTGTATGCACCATGGATGTATAAAGAAACATGGATACAGCATTGGCAGTGGGACGTCGTTCATTCTTAAGAAAGTTGCTCAGTGATGCACAAAGCCAAAACAGACCTATTTCTGCAATATAAATTTCCTGGATGATCAGCACTGCTTCCACATCATTGGGCCCATAGAGCAGGCGTACTAAAGACTTAAGCTGGCTGAGCTGGCTCCTTCTGCTTTAGCACTCTGCTATCCTGAATGGAAATAAAATTATTTAATCTTGCCGCTCTTCTAGATTTTTCTGAATGTTATCGGACTGAATAGATGAAAACCTGATAGCGGAATGAGTTATTTCACGGGGGTTGTGATACAAAAATAATCCATTTTCTGTGTAGGCCACCATTATAAAAGAGATGTCTATAAAACTGTTAGCAGGACACCTTGAGCTGCAAACAAGGTCAATTGTGATTCTTTCTATTCTGAATTTTTGATCTAATTTAGGTTTTATATTTGCAAAACTGTTCTTGAGCCGAGAAAAGCTATTCAAAAATCTGTGACGTCATCCCAATGTCAAGTCTATGTGAGCCAAGCGGGACTTTGTGGGCAGGGTGGGCGCCATCTTGGCATCTGGTATCTAGGTATTATTCAAAAACGTATAATAATACCTAGATACCTGATGCCAAGATGACGCCTATTCATTCCAATGGAGGTGCTCACCTGGCGCATACACCAAGAAATGTTTCTAGCTTCTGTGTTAACTTCCGCAGTATGAGGCCCAATGACTATGTGCAGTAATGTTTGTCCGACTAGCCCCATCCACAAGTTCCCACTCGGCTCATTGGCTTTACATTGTGATGATGTCACAGATTTTTAAAATGCTTTTCTGGGCATGAGGAGAGTTTTACAAATATAAAACCATCTTGAATCAAAAATTCATGATAGAAAGAGTCATAATTGACCTTGTTTGCAGTTCGAGGTGTCCTGTCAACAGTTTTACAGACAAGTGGGCACTGGGAGAAATTGGGCTGCAAGGCTGAGCAACTGCCTTAGGGGCCTGGTATTAGTATAAATCAGTGAGCAGGTGCAAGTAACAGAGTGGGCACCTCACAAGATTGTGCCCCCAAGTTGTTTATCCATTACTTTTAGCAAACTGTTTCCATTGTTTATCCATTACTTTTAGCCACCTAATTCAACTGTTTATCTGTTAGCTATTGTTTATTCATTGGGCTGCTTTGAATTCACTTTTCCAACAATGTATTCATTACTTTTAGCTCACTGTGGGTGGTCATCACTGTTGTCTAGATTAATGGATGATAGAGGGTGGCTGTGCTGACATACTGCAGCAGCTCTGAGCGTAACCAAACACAGTTACAGAGCACAGTGACAGAAAGTGGAGAGAAAGTTTTGTGACATCTTGAGAACGTGTGCATGTTGCTGTCCAACTACGTATTTGGACTTCCTGTTAGCTTTTGTCGCTGCTCTCAGATGGTGATAATTATATGTCCGTGGTATGACACTGCATTCCCAGCATGATAACCACAGTTTCTCAGTACTGCTGCCCTCACGCCAATACCCAACACTAGTTAAAACACACCCTCATGAGAGAAAATGCTCTCAAGAGTTTATTTTAATAATTCACTGACTGATAGAAAATGTCTTGATGTCCATTTAATATTTTTGATGGATGTTTTTCTTTGTTTTGTAGAATTAATCATTGTGATTCAATAATTTGGATGAGTAAAATAATTAATCTGATGATGTTATTTTGAGCCACAGTAACTTGTGAGGGTTTTGACTTTTATTATTGCATGTCATGCACATATATATACCCAGCCTGCATTAAGTTAATGCTGTATTATCCAGATCCAGAATTCAGTGTAAACATTTACAAATATATTACACAATGTCCAAATATATGCAAAGAATACTAATTATACATAGAACAAAGCAAAATACAGTTTGTAGCTTAAATAAAGACTCAGCATAGCAATAGATGATTTTTTTTTGTTCTCCTCATCTTTCTCTCTTTCTTTTTGATCTGAACACTGAAGCAAGCTAATTTTGATTATTTGTTAATTTGTCATTTAATTTGTTATTTGAAAATATTGAGTGACTATCTGAAAAGTCTGTATGTTAATTCGAAATTGGTGTGTTTTGCTGCAGTAAAAATATTATGAGGAACAGAAGATTCTTACGTGGGAAAAAGAAATTCAACATGGACCCTAAAGGGGTGAGTTTGTATATCATATTTTTAGTGGTTAAAGATCCAGCTGATTTCTCTGAAAGTATTAGATGCTGTGGGAGTGTTAAGGTTCTGACAGGACATTTAGCTGAAGTCAGTGTGATCTGCCACATACAGTGTGCAGCTTCATCAGACCAACACACAACAATTTATTTTGGTCACCTGTATACCTGAACACACAGCACTTTCACAGAGATATCTTTAAGTGTGTAACATCATCTTTGATGCTGACTCCCTACATGCTGTTTGATTCAAGACTTTAAGTGGGAACACAATGTTACTCTGAGTCACAGTAAAGGTGCTGCAGATGAAATCACACTTTCACTCACTTCAGCTCCTCTGGATCTGAAGGTCAACAGCCAGATGACACCAAATATAACATCACACTGAGCGATGCGGATTTGTGTGATGTGTGTGATGTGCAGAACTGCAAACTGCTCAGATGCAGAGGAGGACTGACTAGCGAGAAAAACCACATCCCGTTCCCTGAAGTGGCGCAGAAGCGCCACTCTACCACAGCGACCTCCGTCTCTTTCTTTGCCTGTTCTCTGTGTCCTCGGTTAAAAACGGAGTCCCTCGGCCTGTGACCGCTCTGCGCTCATGCCTGAGGACATGTACAAGTGGGAGGATGACAAGTTTTAAGACTTCTTGGGGTTAAAGGTGTTGAGTGCAATTGATGTGAAGAACTAAGCAGAAGCACACACTCGGCTTTGAGTCTTAACACCCTTTGAGATCTAGAGATTAACATCGTTCAATATTCATTCTACCTTTCTCATCTTCTTTACCTGGTGATTAGTCACAACAGCAACTCAAAAAGAGAGGAAGAAAACTTTCTTGCTTAACAACCTGCAGAGTTAGCAGCACTGATAAGAATTTAGACACAACCTCTGACCAACATTTCATATGAAAGCTTGTATGACGTGCTACTTGCTTCCTGTCCTGTGAGTTCAAACACACAAACATGAAACATATAAAAACTCTGATTAAATGACTGAACATTTAAATTTCAAACAAAACGTAATGTGCCAAATTGTATCCTGAACAACCGACCCAAAACCACACAAGTTTCTGTGTGTGAACATGGACATTACCGAATTGCATGCTCCTGGTTCCCAATACTTTTCATAAAAATCTGACTCCCATCCCTCCTTCCTTCAGGGTGTCAATTACCTGGTTGAACATGACCTGTTGGAATGGCGAGCAGAGTCGGTGGCCGAGTTTCTTTACAAAGAGGAAGGACTGAACAAGACCGCCATTGGCAACTTCTTGGGAGAAAGGTACAATACACACACAAGTTTACATGTGGATGTGATCTCAGAGGAAAGTCAAGGCTTAAATATTCTTTTGTGCCACCAATTCTTGTTGAAAAAACCAGCTACTTCATCACAAAGCAGAAGTAGTCACTGGTACAAACGATCACTAAACAGACAGCAGCAGAGGTGAAAGATATAGTCTGATCCTTTCAGCAAAATGAAAAGTGCAACAATGTAAAAAACACTCCACTACAGGTAGGTCCTGCGTTTGAACTCCTATAAATGACAGCAAAGAAGCACAATGTGCTTAAATTATCAAAAGAAGAAGTATTTATTCTGCAGTAAAATATGACTGATGCATTACTGTATCATATCTGACGTTATTAGGTAATTAATACTGAAGCATCACTGTTGTAGCAGCATTTTTATTGTTGTAGCTGCTCGAGGTGAAGCTATTTTTAACTGCTTAATATACAGTTAATTTAGTCGAGTGGTTCCCAACCTTGGGGTCAGGCCCCCCCAAAGGGTCACCAGATAAATCTGAGGGGTCATGAGCTTGGTCATGAACAGTGGATCTGGGCTAGTATGTGTAGTGAGTGCTGGTAAGGAGATGGGAGGGAAGCCCAGGAACAGGCGAGTGGATGGGTGGGCCAGTCAGGGAAAGAAAGGAATGTCTGAGGACGTCATGGTGGAAGGACCTGAGGAAGAAATACTCAAGTAAAGTACAAGTGCCTCAAAATTGTAATGAAGTACAGTACTTGAATATGTGTACTTTCTTAGGACAACAGAGAATTAGGTATTGCAATTACAGGCAGTCCAGGTTGTAGTTACATCTCCAGGTGTGTGTTCAAGTTCACTGAACTTCATGTCATCCAGCTGATATTCCTCAATCCAGATTTGAGTCACATTTTTCTCATGTTTTCTCTGACAGCGAACTATTTCCATCACAGAACACAGACAGTGATGGAAGATGCAGAATCCAGTTTATAGCCAAGTAGTAGGCTTGAGCCGAATACTTGAATGACATGAGTCTTCAGTGTAGATAATGCACTTTTTAGGAGTATCATCAGAGCAAGATATGTCAATATTCTACCCATGATAAAGGACTCATTTGGGTAGCTGTGTTCAATCTCTTACTCTTGTGATCAAAAATAATCTTAAATCAAATTCTGAGACTGTTCTGTAAATAGTTTTCTGCTAAATAATAAGAGCAGCAACTTCTGATAAACCCACATCAGTCTGAGGTTTAAAATAACACCCTCCGGTTAGGCCAGCCCATTTCTGATTAAACTCCGCCCACTTCAAGTACAGACACAGACACAGAGTTGCTTGAACAGATACAATTATGTACTTGCCCATTCCTACCAAGACGGTTTGCCTTGTTGCTGCATGACAATAAGCATACCAGAAAATTAAAATAAAAGCAAGTATGGGAAAAGTTAAGGAACATAAATAAAGACAAAAAAATGTACAATAAAAATATGAAAAATTACTGTGAAAAATATGTAAAAAAAAAAAAAAAAAAAAAGATCCATATCTGTTGTCATGCACCTCTTATCTTTGCCTTCACTTTCTCCATTTCACTGTTTTCAACTGTCTGAGCACTTCTGAACACTTCTGTTCTGAGAGAGATATATATTGACCTTTAATATTGTATTGTAACTCTCAGTTTCATGTTGGTGATTGTTATTATTGTCTTGACTTTCATACAGGGAGGAAATGCATCTGCAGACACTGAAAGCGTTTGTGGGCTTGCATGAATTCTCAGATCTGAATCTGGTGCAGGCACTGAGGTTTGTGTCACAAGATAACTCTGAAACTCAGCACGAAATGTTGCAGCAGTTTTTACCTTTCGTCTTGCTTTTCTGATAATGTAGAAATCCTCCTCCTTCTCACCAGCATGTGTTTGACATTGTGTGTGTGTGTGTTTTGACACCTCTGCCATCTTGCAGGCAGTTTCTGTGGAGCTTTCGTCTCCCTGGAGAAGCTCAGAAGATTGACAGGATGATGGAGGCGTTTGCAACTCGCTACTGCAACTGTAACCCAGGGGTCTTCCAGTCCACAGGTATGAGCAACAAAGAGGCTGTGTCTCGCCTGATTCACTCTCTCAGACAGTCTAATTAAAAAGTTTCATTACTGTTTCATTAATTTCATAAAAACCCCTATAAGACAAGTTATCTGCTGTTAAGATGAAACTGTTTTTCTTTTAACGAAACATGAGAGAGGCCACAGTAATATGCCATCTCTCCCTCACTGATCAGAGTAAATAGATTGTTCACTATGAGTGTTTTTGTTCTGGCAGCATTCACAGAAACCTATTATTTTTAATGGGTGCAGTTTATACAGCTGAAGCAGTGAAAACGAGGCACAGCTGAAAACTGAAAACTGTGGTTTTCTACAATCTCCGTGTGTGTGTGTCTTTGTGTTGTGTGGAACAGACACATGCTACATCCTGTCTTTTGCCATCATCATGCTCAACACAAGTCTCCACAACCCCAACGTGAAAGACAAACCCAGTCTGCAGCGATTTGTATCCATGAACAGAGGGATCAACAATGGGGAGGACCTGCCCACCGAGCTGCTCACGGTCTGCTACTAATAGGCTACCAAAACCAAAGTCTTAATAATGTCCTATTGATAACATCCTGATAAACCCATGTTTGCTCTTAAACTCAAGTTCTGTACCTGTGTCAGAGGAGTTTACACACTTAGGCTAATACAAAGAACTACCTGTACTCAGAGGCTGTAGAGGCGCAGTGGTGCTTTAAGCTAAATGCTAACATTAGCATGCTAACATACTCACAGTGACAGCTACCATGCTGATATTTAGCAGGTAGGCTATAATGTTTACCATGTTCGCCATCCTAGTTTGGCATGTTAGCATGCTAACATTTGCTTATCAGCACTACACACAAAGTCCAGCTAATGCTAATGGGAATGTTATTAGCTCTGCAGGTCATCAACCAAAATACTGAACAGAATACAACTTTGATCTGAAGACTAGAGTGCTAGAGTGAAACATTGAGGCAATATTGTTGAGACTTTTAACTCAAAGCACAAATGTCAACTTCATGGTGGTCCTACAGGAAAAACTACCAGAGTTGGACACCAGAGTCAGTCATTCTCTGGGGAACATGAATGTTTGTACTAAGTCACAAGGCAATCTATCGCATAGTAATTGAGATATTTTGGTTTGGACCAAAGTAGTGAACCAACAGATGGACATCTGAAATCCACTAGCAACCCCCAAAATGTTCAAAATCTAATTAAAAATGGAGCTTTGTGAAAACAATGCATTGTCATTATTAATTAAAAAGAGAATTTAATTAAAGTTAAGATAAAATTTGGTTAGATTTTATTTTAACTGTGTTACAAGTGTAAAAAAAATAGAAAAAAAGTCATGATTAACTTCTTAATTTAAAAAAAGACAGCAAATTTCATGCTAAAAAACTTTAACTCAAAATTTCGTTTCTTTTATTTTCAGTTTTAGGGGATTTGTATTCTTTCATCATCTCTTATTTTCTGAATGAAATCTAAATCCAGTTTAGGAAAAATCAAACTTTTTAAATTTAAACATTTGGTGCTGAAACTGACCTTCTCTTCCAGAAACTGTACGCAAGCATCCGCAGCGAGCCATTCAAAATCCCAGAGGATGATGGGAATGACCTCACGTTGACGTTCTTTAATCCAGACAGGGAAGGCTGGCTACTTAAAATGGGTGAGATGATGTTCGTACCACACAGGAAATACACTGAGCTGCCAAGACAAGCTCTTTCAGGAGGGCTCACAGAGGAGACAACAATCAAACCTTTTCTCCTAAATGTTTGTTTTCATTGTTGAAGGTGGACGAGTCAAAACCTGGAAGAGGAGATGGTTCATTCTGACAGACAGCTGCTTGTACTACTTTGAATACACCACAGTAAGTACCCGTCTTGCTGCTGCTACAAAACCTTTACGTCAACAAAATATGTAAATGTCAAACATCCTATTAGTGGTCGAAAGGTTAAATCTGTCTCTGATATCTGTCTCTCCCTGCAGGATAAAGACCCAATCGGGATTATTCCTCTGGAGAACCTGTGTGTCAGGAAACTACAAGACACAAGCAAACCAGTAAGTATCTTTGTACTTTTATTAACACAGTGTATTATAGAGTGTTGAGCTTCCTCACACACACACACAATCTGCTGCCACACAGCTTAATGAATCATACAGCAGCTGCTAAATGAATTTCTAACATAAGTGCTCCAACAGTGAGTCACGAGGCTATCAGAAGACTAATAAAATAAACAAAGCACAAGCACATAGTAACAGTGCCACATGTGTCTGTCTTTGTGTTTGAACAGTATTGTCTGGAGTTATATAACCCCAAAGGACAAAAGATCAAGGCCTGCAAGACGGAGAACAAAGGCAGAGTGGTGCAGGGTAAACACCAGTCCTATAAGCTCAGCGCAGCCAGTGCAGAAGAACGGGACGACTGGATAGACGCAATCAGGTGAGAGCGGCTGATACTGATGAGAACACGTTGGGAGCCATGTGTCTTCACTGAGTCATGTTTGTCAAGGCTGACGATGTAACACATGATCACAAAGAGTTCAAACAAGCCACAAAGAGGATCAGGATAAAAATCATCTGACCTCCAGACCATCACATTTGTCATCTTAAAACTGCAGCTTAGTTTTACAGATGGGTTTATGTCCCAAACTATTTTTTGGCTCTGAGCCTCAGCTGGTTGCCCGGCAACAGCTCAGAGCCCAGAAATAGAAGATGGCAGATTGTCATTTTTCACACTTTGAGTTTTGTACATGTTAAATAAACGTTATGTAATGTGTTGATGGACGGATTTGTTTACATTTGGGCAGCTAGGCTAGTTTTCCCCCCTGTTTCCAGTCTTTATGCTAAGCTAAGCTAACTGCCTGCTGACTGGAGCCTCATAGTGAACAAACAGATATGAGAGTGGTATCAGTCTTCTTATCTGACTCTCTGCCATTAATTGAATGAGGATATCTCCCAAATCTATTGCTTTAGTTTATGCACATTCAAGTAGGTTTTCCATGGATCCATTTCTAAGGCTCCTAAATTAAAATGAATATAACTGTGTTGGTAAACTGGTGAGGGATTGTGTTCTTGCAGCTCTAGCTACTGCAGCAGTGAAGTGACTGCAGAACAGGGGAACTGCTCACTGAGGTGACACAGGCAAAACTACTACTACCACTACTTTGATGATTTCAGTTTCAAACTAAATCTTAATCTTCTCTTTCAGGGCGAGCATCACCAAAGACCCTTTTTATGACCTGGTGTCTCTACGAAAGAGGAAAATCATCAGCAACGCTTCCTCCTAGGACTGAAATACGAGACAACGGAGGAAGCAACATTGGATCCTGGACGACGTGGGGTTTTTTTTGGATTTGTCATCCTGTGATTTTATGACAGAGCCTGTTCAGGAAGAGTAAAACCAAAACTGAACTGCATTTTCACAGTAATGTACAAATTAGGGAACCAAAACTGTAAAATGAGAAAACTAGTATTGGTATTTTGGGCTTGCAGTGTGTTACTTCTGCAAACTGCACGCAGTACTGCAGCAGCTTCAGGGGGCTGACTATCCTACTGACAAACATCTGCTGCAGAGTCGAGGCCCAGATGGGTGGCATGGCATTCCCTCCAGGAATCTGATCTTCTGGTGCCTCCCCACCAGGGTCAGAAATGGTAGAAAGTTGGCTTGTCAGTATCAGGGATGGATTACTGAATGGGCCTACTGGATGCAGGTTCCCTTTGACTGAACCTCTGTATCAACTGACAGTGAACATTTCTTTTAGGAAAGGAATGTACATGTACAGCAAACACAAAGAGATGCACCATAGCTAAAAAGGGAGACAAAATGACCACAGACAAAAAATGACTAAAAAGTGACAGAAAAACAACCACAAAGAGACACGAAACAACAAAAAAGTGAAATAAAACAACAGAAAAGGGATGAGAAAACGACCACAAAGCAAGGTAAAATGACTAAAAAGGGATGCAAAATGACCACAAAGAGAGAGGATAACACATAAAAAAGGGGCACAAAAAGGCCCGTTAGTGACATATTACAACCTCAAAGGAGAAAAATTACTAAAAAGGGATGCAAAATGAAAGCAAACACAAAACACTGCTGAAAAGAGATGGAAATACGACCATAAAGCAAGGCAAGACGACTAAACATTGACACAGAACTACAGAAAATGGACAGGAAAATGACCATAAAAGGAGGAAAAATGACTAAAAAGGGACAAAAATTTAACCCAATGGCCACTGACACAACATGACAACAAGGAGACTGGAAAACATATGAAAAGGGATGCAAAATGACGGGAAAACAACCACAAGAGATGCAAAATGACATATTAGTCAAACAAAATAACCAAAAAGAAAATTAATAAAAAGGGATGCAAAATGACCACAAACACAAAAAAATGAACCATGAAAAGAGGCAAAATTATTTGAAAGGGACACAAAATGACCACAAAGACACGCAAAATGATTAAAAAGAGACAGGGAAATGACCACAAAGAGATACGAAACGACTATTAAGGGACGCAAAATAAGCACAAAGTAACATGCAATGTCAAGAAAATAAAAAAAAGGAAAATGATAAAAATGATGTAAAAGTAAAAATTAAAGGATCTGTTGAGGAAAAAAGTAATAGCACTTTGTTAAACCTGCTTTTTTAAATCTTAAAAAAAGCATGTCACTCATTATATCATGCAATTTAAGTCTTTTTTCTCTCAATAAATACCAGCTTTTACAGTAGAGTGCTTCATTACAGGTGAATTGTAAATAAAGTTAAAAAAAAAAATAGGTTGAAACAAAGCTAAAATATCTTCAAGTTTTAAATTAACTTATGAATTGTACAGTATATTTTATTTAGCTTAAACATATTTTTCTTCACAGTGTTTTTTTTTTAATGTATGTATAATTTAATGACTTTGTACTGATGGAACAATCAAACTACTTTTAAAATAAACTGGTCTATTGTACAGACTGTTTGTGTGGCTGTTTCTCCAGCAGGTGGAGCTACAACATTTCTTCTCTTTTTAATCTGAGCGCTCATGATCACATATTAACTTTCACTGTTACACACTATTTTAATCTTGTTATGACTGTAATGATGATGAGAAGGAAGACGTCAAGCTGCTGAGAAATCCTGTGTTATCAGATTAAGAGGGTATGTGATGCATAAAGGTTTTTCCTGTGCAGTTCGTGAGTGTGTGTGATGCTATGATAGAGTTGTGGTTTCCTGGGAGCATGTAGAAACTGAAAACAAAAATAACTTTGCTTATTTGAGAATACATTTCCTCTCAATGCATCTGTCAAACATAAGAGACTGTGATCATATTGACCTGAAAAGAAAATGTCTTCAGGCTTGTTTTTGAAAGCTTTATTTTCCCCTCTGTTCTGTTAACAGCTGCTTTACCTCCTAACATCACTTCAAAATTAACTTTATTTTTTCTTTTAAATGATTTTTTCTTGAGTAAAACCGTATCTGTAGAAAATTCTTTACTGTTGCCATGAACTTAAATTGCACATTTGATAAAAGTGATGACAGACATGACATGAAATTATTACACCAACACACTGCATAAGCAAATTATTAACTGCTATTTCAGTGTCATTCACAGACAAAAAAACATACAATATTAGCCTGCAGAGTGACATAACATCTGTTTGGTGTCACTAAAATCACAGAGAGGTCGAACTTCCTGTTAGAGGTCTGATGGACTAACTTAGAAAAACTCCAGTAACAGAAAGCCTGATCTTGTTTGGGATTTGGGAGGAGCAGTGCCTTTTAAAAAGTCCTGTCAACACCAATCACAGGTACAAAGCAGATATAAATACACTGTATGAAACATGTAATGAATAATTTTCTGTAATAGACTTCTGGAACATGTTTCAAAGCAATTAAAACAATGTTAAATGTGTATTGTAAGCAGATAAAAGGATCACAGGTTCTCACGGACCCCAAATGGAAGATTAGGATTAAATAATCCCCTTAAAGCTACAGTTACTGCCCACCTGAAGAACCAACTCTCTCATTTAACAGCTAAACAGTACACTAAACATATGTCTCTGAAAACATTTGAACAGAATCTTGATTCACAGTTAATATTTGATCAGCACCGCCAAGTTTGACAGTTTGACCGCAGGTCACAAGTCGTGACTGTCATGTTTGACAACCAGTGTTACAGTAATACATTACTTTTAGCAGTAACAAAGTATATAACACATTACCACCTGAAATAAACTGTTTATTGTTTTTATTTTTCATTTATCCACACTGCTCCACTTTTACCAATGTGCTGCCAGAAAAAAAACATCCCTTGAAGGTTGTTCTTTGTTGTCATGTCATTTATTATACGCTACCACATTGATGGGTGCTGGTGATCGTGTGCGTCATCATGTCCATTCATATGCCTACACGTATCCCATCCTGCTTTTGCATCCTAAGGCTGCCTCAAAGTAGCAGGGGGGACAAGGAGTTGGCCTACGTGTTTATTTTCCCTTGTCCCGGTGATAGACATATATGGATGATGTTAGTATAAGTTGGATATGTTTCCATTCACATCCCCTACAACTGCAGAGCTACATCGGCACACACTCCCGTTATTATGCACAACTCTGTCTCCGGTGCTGTTGTAGCTGACCAGCACACCAGTAACTGGCAGATGGGACCTGCAGCTCTGGTGTATTAATTTGCGCCTGTCATAGTGACTAGCACGCCATTCCATTTGTTGTGCTAACCTCAGTATTTATTGTGTTTCACATCATAGGCTCAAAAAATATGTATCCATATCTCATAATTATTAGACTTTGTTCCTCTGCCTGACCCTCCCTGTGTCCAAGGTTATTTATTCATATAAAACGGTCTAGGTTGTTTAATTGTTCTATATCATCAGGTTATTATTAATATGCAAGGGATTTTGACACAAAGTGGTAACCACTGTATGTGAATAAATGAATGGGTCAGACCTACAGCACTGGATTTGTAGTGAACTGTGGTAAACAGGAGCTTATGTGCTTTGGTTACCTGCTGTGAAACAACATGACAGTCATCCATTTAAAATGAACAGGAACATTAGTTCCTTCGAGGTCATTTTGGTGAAAGTAATGCAAAAGGAATGCAATATGTAACTAATTACTCTACACAGAGAGTAGTGTTGTAATGTAACTTGTTACTTTTAAATGAAGGTAACTTGCAGTATGTTATTTATTCCATTTTGAAAGTAACTTGCCCCACACAGTTGACAGCTGCGTTAGAGACTTTTCCGCTCAGACTGATTGTTTTCGATGCCCCACGGTCGATTCTAGCAAATGCCACAGGAGGGGAGGAGGGACAAATTTTTTTCACAGATTATCTGTCTCACCTACTTCTTTCAGAACACAGAGACAGTTATTGGAAATATGACAAAAAGTTATCTTTAGAAAAGTGACCAACATGCAGCTTCAAATGAATGTAAACTATTACATTTGTAACTTCTAAATATGCTCAGTCTCTTTCGTGATCATTTCTTTCAATCTTATAGCCACTGAAATTAACAAATTGGTCAGTGTTACACATCTCCTGTCCCAGGCTCAACAAATAAATCATTCGACCAGAAGAACTTGTCAGAAATTAGGATACATTTTCTGAAATAAAATAACACTTTTTTTAATAAGCAATAAAATATGAATTGGACTTTGTCTTCAGTCTTTACTTACTCGCATAACAAAGTCTTTTCTCTTCAGGAGGATCAGTGGAGCTAATTGTAAATGTAACTTCTAAATTCTGCTTTGTATTGTACACAATTCATGAACTCACTGAGCTTTTCAGTGAGATAACTGGCTTGCTGAAAAAGGTGTTTGTGCATGATTACATATGTTTATTTACATTGAATTTTACTTGATATTTATTGACACAAACCACTTTTTTATCTGCTGTTTTCATGTCTTTTATTCAATTTCTGCTACAGAATTAGAATTATTTGCATTTCGAGTGGTTCTCAAGGATTCACATTTTAATCTCTGCCAGTCCCACCTGAATAAACCCAAAGTGCAAACATACAAAGTCCTCACCTGGCGGTGTAGAAACAAAGCAGGCCTGTGTCAACACCACACCACTCAGCGCGGCGTTCATTATTCACAGCCTGTACAACACACTCTGACGAACACTTATTCTGTTGCCAAGGGTCCTCTGTAAGGCGGCACTCAGGGACAACAAGCACAACTGATCACTTCGCGTGTCTCCACAGCAACCAGGTGTGATGTAATCCACCCACACGACCTGGGTCACAGCCTGGGCTGCTCATGGTGATGGGGTTAAGCATACAATATAAAAAACACAAATAATTTAGTACAAAAAACAGAGAAACTAAAATAATGGCGATGAAATCTCCCCCCATCAGCATTTTGGCTTCAATGTTGAGATTCTCTGATGGAGTTTTTTCCTCACATGATTAGTTAAACTACAACGTCTCATCAGCAGTCCCCTGTAAGGACTTTCACCTTAAGTGTAACAGGCTGGAGACGCTGACTGAAGTAATGTCACCTGGTTACAGTAAGGTGATACTGTGACTCAGCATGTTTAACCAGGAGATCCTGTGGCTCCTCTTTATAACTCCAAAGACACACTGTTCTCTTGCTTTTGATCTCATGACTGGATGCAGTTCTTCTTTTGATGCCGCCGGCGGCTTTTAGATCCTGTTGAGGAGAAAAAGAACAGATTAATTTTAAAATAGCAATCTTAAGTGTTAAAGAGAATAAATTATATCACAATTAGGGCAAGTATAACATCTCAACACTTCTTAAACCTGCAATAACTTTTTTTTCTTTCCACAAACAAGTTATAAACACAATAGTGACATATCATCAACATTTTAGATGATAGGTTGAAATTGTTACCAAATATTTGCCTATTTCCGTATCCAATAGTTATTGAGTAACATTATAATTCATTTGGAGTCTTGTTTGTGACCTGATGAATGTAAGTCCAATATTCACTCTCTTTTAGCTCTGTTTTTGGTCTCCACCAACTCTTGAGGGATATACCTTTGCCTTTAGCTGCTACATGCTCCACTATGTTCATAGCTATAGTCTCTAACTGTGTCTATGTGCTGTTTGCTGCTGTGTAACCAGTATACAGTGAGTTGTAACATCTTTTTTTCTGAAAACGATGCTATGAGAGCTGAGGGAGTGAACCAGAACAGTAAAATTTGGTCCAGATAGATAAACAATGAGCTGTGTAGCTCATTTATCTGTAGGCTGATACTTATCTGTAGGTTCATCACTGCGAGTAACCCCTTTCACATCACGTCATGTCATAGATTATTGTAAAAATAGCTATTAGCTGCTTTAAACGCCAACTGAACTCACACTATAGCCCTGAGTATCAAAAACTTCCAAGTAGTGACAGTTGGTTACATATTTCTTAATGTATAATTTGATATGGCCTGACTTATATCATGAGTCTGACAATTAATAGGAGGTTATTTAGATTTCAATTCAACTCAGATAGGTGGAAAGGTAAACAATAATTTCAGGAATTAATAAATTAAATCATGGATATTAAAATGACAAATTTTTGAAGACTGTAACACACAGTTTTGTTTTGTGTCCTTATTTCTATGTAATATGCATACTTCGCCTCTAGTGTTCAACGCAAGAAGTTCACCTTGAGTGTTTTTTGCTGTCCAGTCTTGTGAAACACGTTCATTAAGCACTACAAAGACAAAAACAGGACCAATAATGCATAGCGACAAATAAATGAGGAGGTCGGCCTGTCAGTTGTGTAGCCAGCTTTGTGAAATATTTTGATAAAAGATGTACAATCCACTATGCATGCACTCTATATGTTACACAGCTAGCATGCTACCAATGTTAGCAAGCTAAATATGCCATCAAACTTCACATCTAAAAAAGTGTAAATAGAGCTCTATTACAGTTGTCAGTCTGTTAGCTAATTTGTTTTTATGCTAACCTCCTGTGACACAGTGCATACAGTCTGTCCCTAATCCGACCAGTGCAAAAATTAGATTTTTTTCAGCATACTCGAAGCTAACTCCACACCAAAAATGTGGCTATATGGAAACGAGGCATAAAGCCTTGGTCTGACAGCTCTGTTTTTATATCTATTTTATTTTGGGCGTTAATTTATTTTATGATTTTTAATGTTAGAACATTAATTTTATATTAAACACATCTAAATACAAAATATTCTCTTGTTTTAGGTTCTCAGATATGAGGATTTCTCTCTTTTATAACACTGTAAATATTTTTGGATCGTTGGTCGAATTAGAAAAGACATCTGAGGATGTCTTCTTTGGCTTTAGAAAATTGTAACATATTTTTCACTGTTTTCTGCTTTTTTTTTTATTGACCAAAAAATAATTTGCAGATTAACCGCTAAGAAAAGCTATGAGTAGCTTTGATTCAGACCATAATGAAACAAACAATAAAATAATAGACTGTGCGGGGACATACCGTCTTCGTCTGCGGTGTTGATGGTCTGCAGAGACATACTTCTCTGGATGACCTTTGAGGGTTTCTTGGTTTTGGTTTTCAGTGGACCAGGTTTATCAATGATCTCAAACGAGTCCTCCACCTCATTTCCTGCGACACCATTAGTCTCTGGCACCTTAGTTGGGGAGAAGGGGCTCTGAGGAGTGACCACGTCCTCCTGTATAGTCTCTGTGGTGTGATTGGCTCCTCTGCCTTTCAGGAAGTGCCTGAAGGAGCTTCGTTGTTTCTTCACTGCAGCTACCTGGTTCTTCTTCAAGCCCCCCTTTCCATCCTCTTCCTCTGCAGGTGAAGCAGGACTCTGTGGGGGGACTCGCTCCAACACCTCCCTGCTGTTCCTGCTGGCATGAAGGATGTTGTTCTGCAGCCCGTTCCCATGGTGCAGCCCACCAGTCAGAGAGTCGTTCATGGTATTCATGGTAGACAGGTCTTGTAGGGAACCTGTGAGGCCCATACGGTTCCCAAAAACTAAAGAGTACTTAGGATTGTGATATTTATGTGCAGGTACCCTTAGGTCGGCCTGTCTGGAGTCCCCGACAGATACTTGAAAACGAGACGTGGAGATGGGCAGAGGCTGGATTTTCTCCACCTTTGGCTTCCTAATGGGCATAGCAATAGGTGGCTTGGTGATGTTGAACTCCTTGTAGAGGTCCACCTGCTCAGAGATGGCGTACAACTCCCTGAAGTCATTGTCGAAGGAGTCAACAATTTGTCCCGTCATCACGGTGATCGTGTTCCTGTCCATCCGGGAGGAACTCCAGGTGAAGCTGGAGGACAAAAGACAAATTTAAACCAAAACCATAAAAGTTGAGGAATAGTTCAACATTTATCAAAATATGCTTGTTCACTTTCTTGCCAAGAATTAAATGATAAAACTGACAACACTCTCAGACACAAGAATGGTGCCTACGTTTCATCCAACACTCAGCCAGAAAGGAAATAAATGTATTTACCTAAATAATTTTAAAAGTGTCTTTACACTTTGTATTTTTTTGCTAGCAGATCTTGCTTTTGAGTGCAGAGTCACTTTTAGACCCAGTGAGCAAAATAAAGCTGCAACCAACATTTGTGACCGCAGCACTCTTAATGTACAGTCCTTCCAAGCATGGTGTAATATGGGAACCCTAAGAAACAGCAGGAGATTGTTCCTGCCTTTAACAGCTTTAAAAACTTAACCAAAGGTTCCACAGAACCTAATTTCTTTACGTACAGTTCCAGTCATAATGAGGTATCACACATGAGTCATCCCAGTTTTGATTTTAATGGACTGTTCATGAAGTGCACTGAAAACTGCTTTGTTACTGATGTGGTCACTGACGTGGTTTTAGCAAAGCTGGCTGATGTGAGACACATGATGTGTGGAAAGATGCATCATCTGTATTTAGACACAGGCTGCTGTATACAGAAGCTTAACTCTTTAAGTTGTATCCAAAATATTTAAATCAGCTTATTTTTGCAGGGAGTGTTGTTCAGGTATTTGTCAGTTTCAAGTGAGGATGAGAGTTTGTCACAAGAATTTTAGTATAATTTATAATACAGAGATTTTGTTATTTAATATCAGCTTAGCAACAACAAGAATCCTCATATGGTTGTGTAATGACCACCTTGTAACCGTCTACAGTTTGTTATATTCTATAAATCAAATTATATTCTGTTGCTGATTTTTTTTGTAATATGTCATTTTGCTTCTTTCTGTCTTTTACATATCATACATGTAAATAGATGTAAAACTACAAAATGCTTAAAGGGTGCCTGAAAAATCAGCTAAACTTGTCATCCTCTACAACAGTCTTACACCAGGTAATGCTGAGGAATACCCACTTTTCATCAGGGTTTGATTTAAATTGATCATAATGATCATTTAGTTGTGAAATATTCTCCATCAAAATCATTGCACTCCTGTCTGAAAGTGTCAAACTTAAAATATCATTATCACAATATGAGATTCAGTAACATCTGATATAAAGTTTCCTTAAGGAGTCAGAATACTACAGTCGAAGGTCTTGTTGGATCTGTATCTTTCCAAAACCGATGATCTGACAATCACGCATGTCACGCCGTAATTGGCCAGGTGCACCAGTATTTCTGTTACTTTATTAGTATTGTATATGTATTCAGCATTATCGCCATCTTGTTGCTCTTTATGACGACTGACTTTTCATCCCACATTTGAATGTGGTCGTTCGGAACAACTATAAAACAATTTGCTTCCACATATGGTTGGACATACCTTAAAGGTACAGTGTGTAAGATTTAGGGGCATCTATTGGCAGAAATTATAGAATTTTTTATGATTATGTTTTCATTAGTTTATAATCACCCGAAAGTAAGTATAGTTGTGTTCCCTTAGAATGAGCCATTCATATCATGGATTTATAAAGAAAACTGGATACAGCGTTGGAGGTGTGGCTACATTCGTTTCTATGAAAGCTGCTCAGTGACACGTGAAGCCCAAAAAGCTAGATTTCCAAGGTATGAAATCACTCAGATCTTCCGTATTGTGGGGCCCATAGAGGCACTCTAGAGACTCATGGCTGCTGAGCATCTAAGTTTCAGTTTAGCCCTCTGCTAACTTTAATGGGGATAAAATGATTTTCCAAATGTTATCAGACAGACTGGTTAAAATCCTGATAGTAAAAAAAGTAATTTTTCAAGGGTTGTGACACTCAAAAAAGTGTATCCACTCACTTTCACTTGTCTCTTTCACCCTGTTCACCCCCTATGCTTCATAAAGTTGTTAAGGAGTTATTAGTGTTCTGGTCTGAGTGATTTTCTATTGTGTTGTAGCCTGCAGCTTATAGAGAAAGTTGTGTTTATATTTAAAGCCTCTTCACAGTCCTGTCCCAGCTGTCAATGGCTGAGTTTATGAGTTTGAGGCACTGCTGAATATTCATGCTCACCTGTAAGACCCGAACATGACTTTCTCTCCATCCACCAGCATGTATTTGGAGCACAGGGACCCGGGCAGCTTTCCAAACGACAGGGCCAGCCCTGAACCTCTCACCATCCGCACACGGAGATTCTGCAATGAAACGCCCGCTTGATTACACACTTGAGTTGGCTTAGCATCACACAGGTGAGCCTGAGTAAACTCACTCCACCAAAGCTATCAAGCGTCCCCTGCTGTATCTCACATGACTGATCTAAACAGATGCCAAGTCAAACTGTCACACCTCGCAACATAAAGTAAACTTTCTCAAAAAATAAAGGGCAAAACTCAAATCCTTGAGCCACATATGTTTACTTAAAGGGAAGAGAAAAGGAAACAAAAAGGAGACGTAAATGCTGGGTATGCACACTGGGAGGAGGCTTTCCTCTGTCAAAGCATCGTGTTACAGTCCTTGGATCTGTTTTCAGGAACTATGAATGTTCACTTGTAAGAGGTAAGAGTAACAGAGCCCGGTGCTCTCAAAAGGCCTTTCACAGCCTATCAACTGACACCACTATAACAAGGTATTCCAGTGCTCCAGATAAACTAGACTGGGGCGACAAAACTCTGCGTACAGCAGATAAGGCCAGGTATTGTGTGTCTGTGGAGATAGGATGACGGTCTGACTCAGTGAACTGCTGTTCACTCTGAACCTAGATTAGCACTTACTGTCATACTCAGGTTCTGAAACATGTAGACAAGCATTAAATGTAATTCATAAAAGTTAGATGACTGGTTTTAACTGTTTGATGCATAGGTGAAAAAAGGCATCAGTATTTCAGCATTTCATTTTTCAGGTATTCCCTTAAAAAATCAGGAAATAAATCTAAAATGGGCCATCTCAGTTTATGAGCAGTCTTTGTTATTATCCTGATTTTCAGTAAGTGGGTCTTTAATGTGTGTATGCATTTCCTGTGCAAATCTACAGGGATCTTTCCCACTTGTCAGTTACATTTGGGGTATACAGTATTTACTCTAGAGCAGTAGTTCCCTTTTTGCCAGACATACCCACACAGCCCTGGATTCCCTGAAGTATTCATCTTTTTCCTGTGCTCAGTTGCCGACTGGTTTTCATGCACCCTCAACACTTGGTGTACAGGTATAACTGCTGGCTCAATGTGTGGATTTGTTTCAGTCAAATCATTATTTCTATTTTTCAGATTAGTTGAGCTATTATCTTTTCACCACCATGCAACTGCACAAGTAGATCTAGTTGGGAATCACTGCTATACACAACATCTCAACGATCATTCACATCACTCACCCTCTCACTTACATTAATTTCACATTTGATGTGTTGTCTAAAATTTTCATCACTAAGTTGAGAGCTGTTTTACATAACATTCACACTTTAAATACAATCATGTGAGAAAGTATCTGCTATTACAATTAAATTACTACCGTACAGCTAAGTAGCTTAGTGGCTTAGTGGCATGACTCAGAGCAATAGACATTGTTAGTATACATAGAGTTTTTTTTAACAGCCTCAAACCAGGTTACATTGTCTGTTACTGGTGAGGATTATCCTAAAGAGCGTGACATATTGATATGAGCTGTTTTCTAATCCATGATAATTACTGCAGCCACTGCCATTGTCTAATAAAGAAGGCAGAGCAGTGACACACTGAGGTGTTTCAAACTTTCCATGCTCTCTGTGTGTTGTATTAGTGAGCCACCTCCCTCCGTGGCACTCTATCATGCTCTACAGTGTCCAGTGTTTGCTGAGCACACTCCTCACCCGCAGATGCACCGCATTAATCTGCAGACGAGTGCACATATCCAGGAAGTGGGGCACTCCCCTGGCCTCCAGCAAAGTGTAGACAGCCACCCCGCGCCGCGACGAGGCATCCAGCAGGTCCTGGAGGATCTGCAGGTCTGTCAGGAGGTCCATGACTATAGCCACCACCTGGGGAAACAGAGGGAGGACGGTTTAAATGCAGCCAAGCAGAGGCACAGCAGCAGTGGTAGAATGTGACTGAGTACATTTACTCCAAGTACAAATTTGAAAGTTGAACCTCACTTAAAATTCTCCCGTTCATGCCTCTTCAGACTTCTCACTACAACTCAGAGGGAAATTTTAGATTTTTTTTTTTTTTTTTACACCTGTAGTTACTGCACAGATTAAGATTTTACATCCAAAATAAATGGTAAGCTTAGAAAAAGCCGCATTATTAATAGTGGTTCCCAACCTTTTTTGTCAGACATACCCCCACATCTCTATCGCAAATCTTCATCAACACTGCCGTTATGTCAACCATTTATTCATTACCTTTAGCTATCAATGTTACCATTAACTATTACATTTAAGTTAGCTAACTATTTTCAACTGTTTATCATTTTAGGGTGCTTTCAGACCTAGAGTTGTCTTGCTCTGGTCCGAATCGGGGGCTAATTTGATTACAAAGTTGCAAAATTGCCTAGCCTGGAAATCCAGACTCAAATCTAGAAAGATTTTGAGTCTGGCCCTCACAGATACACCCTTCCTACCCAAGGGGCGGCACTAACTGAGGCATTTCAAATGCCGCTGCAAGCAATTGGATAGCACAATGGCCAATCAGAGCAAAAAACAAGGTGACGTATTCATTGCACTAAGCCCCATTTGTTTGCCAAACAGTGGGGCTAACTGATATATTATGCTTTTGCCATATCCCGTCAGCAAAACAGCAAAAATGTCCTTCCTGGAAACGCAGGCTTCTAGGGCAGTCTTCTGTTCCTCTCTCAAGGAAAAAGATAAGTGTAGTTGGCTTAGCGTTTCTTCCAAAGCTAAATTGAATAGACGCAGTCTTTTGGCAGCTGCCATCTTGGTTGTTTACTTTTCTACTCCTACGGCGCAGCGCTGTCCTCATCATGTTACACCCGCCCAGAGCCCGCGTCTGTCAGATAGACTGATCTGATTGGTCCGATGGCGATTCAGCGGGCTCTGCTCGTCGGGGCCACATACCCGTGCAGAGCCTATTCGAATTTGCTAGGGGCGGGGCTAGGGCTAGGGCGCGATTGCTGTGTTCACACCTACCGTACTGTACTGGAGTTTGATTGAACCGAACTAAACAGGGCAGGTGTGAAAGCACCCTTAGCTAACTTCAGCTATATTGGTGAGCTATGTATTTTAACCATGTATCTATTAGCTTCAGCTAGCTAAGTCCCCATTTATCCTATAATCATTACTTTTAGCTACTATTCAAACTGTATAGCCATCACTTTTAGCTAACGATTTCAACTGTTTACTTAGTTCATGATTTGAAACAGCTGAAACCATGACCTAGGTAAAAGATAAACAGCTGAATCTTTAGGGTGTGTTCGTAAATCCAGTCGGACACTCTACACTTACATGAGAGCCCTGTCATTCAAAGAAACAGACCCTAACAAACCATTAAGTTAATCAAACATTCGCTCTGCTTGGTGCTCTGCTGCTCCCTCTCCCAAGATAGAATGTTTTAAATAACCGAACAGTACCATACCAACAGCGCTGCGCATTTACGAACGGTTCAGTTTGTGCCAGAGTGCGCTCTGGTGAGTATTTCCGAATGCAACCTTAGAAATTGATTTCCACTGTGTATTCATTACTTTTACTTCTACTCACATTGGACTATTTTTCTGAATTATAAGTACATTTATTTAAGGTATAGGCTATTTTGCCAATGACTTGGCATTTTCATTGCAGGACTTTTTATTGAGTTGCTCTTTAATTCTGGATTGCTAGTTTTACTTAAGTAAAGGATCTGTGCACTCCCTCCACCACTGGACAGCAGGACAAAGAAACGCTTTTAGATTTCTGATCATTACCGTTACAGAGACTACAGATATTTACCCTTTTGGCCACACAATTCTGGTGTTTCAGATTCTTTTTCCTGAACAACATCCCCAACCAGAGGGGCTGGTAAAGATGTGTGTGCGCACTTTACTGATATCACATCTGATGGTTTCTGGGTGATTGATTATCATCATCTCGCTGCCTTTTAGAGCAGCCATACATAACCCATTTGCTCTAACATTAAGACTCATGAGTGTTCTTCACCACTCCCACTGTTGGTAAACACAATGGCTATGAGATGCTAACTTATTATTTGTGTTGTGCTATAGAATTTAAGTATCAGGCGGTAACAGTTGATGCTTCAGAGGAACTTGTTTTTCAAGGTAATTAAAGGGTTACTCAAGATAGTTTGGATGCAGTCCAGCAACGGCTATGATTAACATGCACTGCTAATTATTTCAACTGCAGAGTCTGTGCTAAGGCACATGACATAACAGTACAGGTTCTGAGCTAACAGAGAATCATCCTGTCAGAAGATACAGTACATGATGTACTACAATCAGGAGCCAGTCTACACATAACTGATGCACTCTCAAATTTGGTATATTCTTATTTTCAGTGCATCTGTAACACTGTATATTGTATCAAACTAACTTCATAACTATTTGCAGTGAAGCATTTTACAGTCACGCAGTTTTTTTATATCCTTGAGTGCAACTCAGAGCCATCATGTGAGGCTTTTTCCATTTCCTTATTGCAGCTCTCGTGTACATGTTTGGGCCTGATCCAACCAACAGAGTCCAAACAAGTTTTCCTGGCAGACAGCTTAACGTGTGACAACAGCGTGGTCCAATTTTAATTGGCATCAATCATTAAAAGTAAACCACGTGTGAGTCTAAATGACGTGCTACTCATTCTAACTGGTTATTAGGCTGTGTATTGAGAAAAACATTTGTCTAGGGAAGGAGACAGTTACACTTCAGTCCACAACTTTGGTCTAGATTGAAATTTTTCAAGACTTACTTGATAGATTGCCATTAAATTTTGTACAGACATTCATGATCCCTCAATTATGAATACTACTGACTTTGGGAGGCCCCTGACTTTTCCTCCAACTCCAACGATCTCATTGTCCCCACATGATGATTTTTTTTACTTTGTTAACCACCTACAGGAATAGTTTGACATTTTGGAAAACACCCTTGTTCACCTCTTTACCAAGAGTTAAGGTGCCAGTTTATGTTTTACTACTATTACAATCACTATTTACTACTACTGCGTGAATGTGTTGCATTTTACTGCTGTAGATGTTTAAGGTTTTACCTCCTTTATGTACTGTTGGGTAGTTTACTGTACTGCAGTGCATCATATTCTATAAGATCATTATATGTTTGTAGCACTGCTGTCATGTGGGAACCACATACTGTATCTCTAAAAGGTCAACTCTTTATGGTGTTAGAAAAATAGTCCTGTTTTCAGCTTTGTGATGATGAATTTTCCAGTTGATCCAAGAGGGTTTTTTTTAAAGAGTTAATCTAACTAAAAAAAAAGTAGAATAATTGTCTCAACATATAAAGGAACACTTCATCCTTCAGTTTATCACAAACATTCAACATCGACACATCTGGAGATACACGGTTTTCACTGAGGAGGAATGGGATGGAAAAACTTTAAAAAGTAACTAAAGTTGTCAGACAAATGTAGTGGTGTAAAAATTACAATATGGGTTTCAGATGTAGTGAAGTAAAAATGGAAATTCTCCAGTGATGTCCAAGTACCTCACATTTGCACTTAAGTCCAGAACTTCAGTAAATGTACGTACTTGCATTGCACCACTGTGCGCCTCCGTATTCTACATGGTTTCAGAGAGACAAAGAATGCACAAAAACAAGACTATCTCACCTGACTGGAAAAACCTTTCATTGCTTTTTCAAATATAAGACTCTTAGCCTGCATATGGATTTAAACAGCTTGTCCAGATCAATTTATTTTTTGCAACACTGCGCTTACTCTTAAATGTTGCTCAACCAGAGACATCATTCTCTACCTGTCATGTCAAGACCCACCTGACCTGAAAACCATTTCTACTGCAACCCAGGGCTCACTGCAACATCAATTAAACAGCTGTGTTTGAGCTCTTGCTTTGAAATAACAATCTCCTATAACCTTTATCTGCTTCCAGAAAGTGTATGTGAGTGTGTGCATGCCTTTCTGCAAGTAATGAGAGTGACAATTTGAACTCTAGCATAGCGAAATACAGAAGTACTCTCTCAAGTATTTGGCAGGCTTTCATGAGTACATGATTTACTTCACCTCAAGGGGAGAAATATTGTTGGTTAATTAAGCTGTCACGGCCCTGAAATGGCTACTGTAAACAAACAGTAATGAGGATTAACTTATGTGTTAAAGTCTGTCCAATTATTCATCAGTAACAGCTCTGCAGTATGACCACTTTCAAAGAGCTCTGACTAACCGGTCCCTCAGCCAGTCAAACTGTCTGATCTGGAAACATTTGGCATCCTCCACACACCCGATAAATTGAAGCAGTGTTCCTTGTCTCAGTTACAACAAACCCTATCACCTTACCCGGCCACTATAGCCTCTGGTGCTGCACGTCAAACAAATCACAGGTGAATGTTCCTCTCTTTAGTTAAAGTTTGCATACCTAGGAGGTCAACCAATCAGAGGCAGAGGTGGGAATCTGTGAGTGGGTGAGGGAAAGTAAGGCTTGTTCTGTACCAACCCTAACCGGGCTGCAGGATGGTGGGGGGGGCTGAACAAGTCTTTCTGTTTCTGCTGCAAGTCCTGATGTGAAGCTGACATTTAAAGATGCTCGGCCTCTGTCTGCAACACGTATGACTCAGCTTGTTTAAACTTGCAAATGACTCTCCCATTGAGGCACATTTTTTTATTGATGCCTTGGGCTTCGTTAACCCTTCGCTGTTTTTATCACTTCCTGGAAATCCTGCATGTACAGAACATGATTCTGTATTTGCATATTTTCTATGTTTTATAAATGTTCTGTATTTGTTATGGTAATATAAAGAAGTAAGTCGGCTGTTTAATTACTGCAACTTAAATTAGTCATATAATAATACTACATACTTTAGGTTTTGGAGGGAAGGTTAAGAGTGTCTGGGGATATTTCTTTACTTACTTTATTTCTTTATCTGTATCTATATCTGATTGTACTGCATTTAATTGTACAGTACATATAATTAGCAACAAAATGCATCACAGTTTGATTTTGGAACCAGATGCAATGATGAAGTTTTGTGTTTGGTTAGTACCTATTTCTTATGCCACCCCTTCCGCGAACTCACTGACTTCATGTGAGCAACGACGTATTTGAGTTTAAGATGAGTACATCTTCAAGATTCATTATGTAGTGTATGAAACAATTTGAGTCAATTACATTCATTCAAAAGTAATGAAAATAATTTTCCAACGACTAGAAGAGTGCACTCAGTAGAGTACAAATTACCGCCAGGCTTTCGTCGATCGTGATCACTCTACAATGCATGCGGTGCAGCTGTGCCCAGTAGAATTGACCCCTCACGGCTTCCTTACAGTCAAGATAGCAGCAAAGATAGCAAAACTGGGTTATTTTTATAATCTCATATCGTGGCAAACTAGTTAAGTTTAGAATCCATCTGCAGATGCTCCAAGTCAAACTAAGCCCAAACTTTTCTATGCATGTCAGTATCTGAGCCACAGCATAGCCCAAATATGGCCTGCACCAGACAGTAAGGCTTCTTGTTTTTAGCTGAGATGATTCCCAGAAAACTTGCAGCCCTCACCAGCAGGTTAGGACTGGTGAGGAGTCAGCAGTCACAGTATAAAACATACAATAAAACATGTTTTTTTTAATCAACTGTGATCACTGCAACCATGACAGATCCTTGGGCATACAGTCATTAGTGTGCACACAAAAAGGCTGCCTGGTCCAGTAGTTTATAGATTAGCTGCAGACGGACAGATATACAGTACACACACACACACACACACACACACAACCAAACGCATTCTCACCTACAGGTTTTCTTTTGTTGGCAAGTATTGTTTTTCCAACCAACTTTAGATTAAACCGTTCCCACTTCCACATGAAGAGAGCAGGCTGCCAAACTTCAAGGATGGATAATTGTCTTCAAGCCTACTATTAGCCAGTGCCATGAAAGAGATGGGTGCTAGCTAGCTAGTGTTCCCTGTGGTGCCTTCATTGGTTCCTGTCGCTAGGAGACTACAAAGCTGGGAAGTTTTCTGATCTGGCGAGGTGTCAGGGAGGCAGTTTGCTCTGGCTAAATTTGAGTTGCCAGAACCACTGAAGGTTTATCTTCACAAAATATGAAGACTACGGTAGCTTGGAAAATAGCAATATGGGTGGTTAAAGGGAAACTGATGATTTTAAACCAGCTCTGTGTCATCGCAGTGTGGGCAGATGAACGGATAATTTGAGCAGTTTTATGATAGCAGTTGTAAAGTATTCTGTTTCTACTCAACACTAATACTAATTACTCATAACTACTAACATTTTTAACATCACAATTCATGATCAATCAGGAAAGTAAAAAACAGTTATTGATTATTTCAATTTTTTAATGATTAAGATATTTGAATGTAAGTAATGTGCAAGAGTGCATAAAAATAATTAAAACAGAGCTTGTTGATCAAAAAAGTTCCCCAGAGAGGATCCCCCCGGCCCCCTTGCAGAGGCCCACGCTAAGCCCCGAAGGTCCTTAAACCTTAGAAACACCCCTGCTAATGTTAGCTTAATTAACTAGTTAACTACAGTTGATTACATCCACTATCAACAGCTGGAATTTCAGATGGTAAAACAGATGATCACTAGTTAGGAATCAGGAGCCTGCTTTTGTTTACCTCTGTGTGAGGTGAAAGATATGTTGTTGAAAAAAATACTATGGATTTTTATTGTAAACCGTCATGTAAGAACAGAAAACTTGATTTTCTATCATGAAGGCTCATCGTTTGTTTTTTCTTTCAGTACAAGGATGTGACGGATTATAAACCAATTAATTATGTTTGTGTTACTAGCATCGACACAGTGTTTTTGGACACAGCTGAATGCAGGTAGAACACGTGTTAAGCCTCACACTGACATTAACTGCATTAGCTCATGAATGGCAAGTCCAACTCCTGCAAACTGAAACTCAGTAAACCATGATAGTTAAAGTTTTATGTTATAACTCTTAACTGTCATTTTTATTTTCACTTCCTCGTAAAACAGAAATATTTGGGTTTGACCAAACATGTTGAAACCTGTCTAAATATTCTCTGATGCACTGTGAATCTGGATCATGGAGTCTGTACCAGAATATCTGTCCTATATTAATGTATATCCCAACCTGGCAAATCCATGCAGAAATGTGTTCAGCTGTTGTGCATAACATGACTCAAAACAAATGTTTAAGGAGCAGTTTGACATTTTGGAAAATGCAGTTATTTGCTCTCTTGTTGAGAGTTAGATGACAAGACTGATATCACTCTCATGTTTGTTGGTTAAATATAAGACTACAGCCACCAGCTGGTTAGTTTAGCTTAGCATAAAGATTTCTGATATTTCCCCAAGTAGATATTTTCCTCCTTTTTATTGTTGAAAAAACTATTAACAGTACATTTGAAACATACCGACTACAAAAAGAGCCCTGAATTGTCATTTAAATGATCCATATTTTTACTCAGGTTGATGTGTACACCAAAATTTTGGCTTGAAAACTGTCAGTAACTTCAGGCCTTTGTTATGATTAATCCATAATTTGCATGTTAAATCTATCTTTAACAGATTAAAAATCAAAGTGCATCTTCTTTGGATGAAAAGAATTGCTTTAAAGCCATTAAACACATTGTCTCTTGTATTCATAGAGACAGGACACATGTGGAGTGACAGTAATTTATCTCTGCCTGGGGGGCTTTGTGTCTTTCATCTGTGGGAGTGTTTCATCACATGATCACCTGTGGCCAATCATTTTGAATATTTCAGAGGCATTGTTCTGTTGTGGACCAAGTAGGTCAGGTCAGGGGAGAAGGAGAAAGTGATAAGTTTTACTGCACGGTCGGTTATTTTCATATGGTCGTAAAAGTGTTTTTAGGGCAACCTGAAGACCGCAGGTTCAACATGGTGGTCTATGTACAGATTACATAAACTCTAGTTTTAGAGTTTAGTAGATGCAACTTGCTTTTCAAACTGTTCTTAATCTGTTCTAAGAGTTCTAACTTCTGAAATGTGGATATTTACTACTTTAATCTGCATTATAAGGTTGTGAACTGAGTATCTTTGGGTTTGGGACTATTTGAGGACTTCACCACTTTTGACTTTGGAAAACTTCCCAACATTTTATACTGATTAATCACAGCTACAGATGAAGTGATAACTAAAATAATTGTTATAGGCATTTTATTCTCACATAAAAAAAAGGCTGCCGTCTGTGACTTAAGTCTCAATACACTTTTTGCCAGATCCAGTGAATATCTCCTCACAGGCCGCTAGCTGTCCGTTGGATGCTGAGTTCAAATATCAACACTCTCCTTAAGATTCGCTGACTACACCTTTAAGTACAAGTTATCAACAGATAATTGTGTTTATTATGCAGCCATTTCCTATTAGAATAAGAACAAAACTGGGGGAAACACAACAATTTTAAGCAAACTTAATTTTACAAAGTAATGAGAAAGGCAAACTAATGTTCAATAATAGTGTTACACTTAATGAATGTGTATTTATAGATTGGAAACAAGTTGAAAATGTAGTTGTTTTCATAAATATATCTTTTTAAAAAATATCTTGAATATAGTTTTTGTTTTATTGTTTGTTTTGCAGTTTCTAACTTTATTTTGAAAGCTGCTATATAGATTAAATTATTCACATCAGACAGGTACCTTGTGTGCCTCCTGTATGAGCCTCCTCACCACCTCCTTGATGTGGGGCCCGGGCTCCTTGGGTGGGTGCGAGTACACGGACACCCGGGTCACCCCCTTATAGACGCCGCTGCTACCGGGCCAGCCGATGTCCAGAGACGGGACCTCAGTGTCGGACATCTGGGGCCAGTAGGTGGAGTGGACCCCGGAGTCCGCGCTGGAGGACTCCTTGGACTTCTCATGCTCTCCGGACTCACCGTCACTGTCCGTGTCGTACTCCTGAAAGGTTTTTCGGATGCACCTGACCTCCTTGGCGGAGAGGAAGTCCTTGATGTTGTCCTCTTTGAGACGCATCTTGAACGCACCGTCCCCGTTCTTCAGGAGCTGCTCCAGAGCCGCGCGCTGCTCCTCGCTGTAGTAAAACTCCGGTTTGGTCTCCGGGATCTTTTCGTTAACGTGCTCATCGTCCATGCACACCAGCTGAGACTCCGCCATCTCCTGATCCGCTGCTCTCCGACGCTGCGACGCTACCTGTGCGGACAGGTAGATAGGTGCTCAGGTGAGTCTCTCAGGTAAGAGACAGGAGGCGGGACCAACCATTGTGTAGAGGTAGTAGCTGTCAGTAGCAGTTTCATGCATTACACGTTATTAGAGAGCTTCCTGTTGTAAGACTTTCACAATAAAAACATTTGGTGTTAAAAGTTATTCGGAAATATGTTCCAGTAGTTTGTGTCTCACCTGTTGAATAAAAGAATTACAAATAAACAATCTTTATGTTGACTTATTCTGAGTTTAACAATTACAGTTGGTAACATATGAAAACCATTTAAAATACACTTTTGTGAACAGTTGTCCCTGGTGACATTTTGGTAAAAACTTGCCATGGCATGCAAAAGTTTGGGCACCCCTAGTCAGAATTTTGTGTACTGTGTAGAAGATGAGTTGATCTCCGAAAGGAATTAAGTTAAAGTTAAAGATGAGACATGTTTTTCAACATTTCAGGTAAGATCAGTGTATTCTTTTTGTTTTGTACAATTTTAGAGTGAAAAAAATGAAAGGAGCACCATGCAAAAGTTTGGGCACCCCAAGACATTTGAGCTCTCCGTCAACTTTAACCAGGGACTGGCTTGTTCACAGTCATTGTTAGGAAAGGTCAGGTGATGCACATTTCAAAGCTTTATAAATACTTTGACTCCTGAAACCTTTTCCCAACAATCAGCAGCCATGGGCTCCTCTAAACAGCTGCCTAGCACTCTGAAAACTAAAATAACTGATGCCCACAAAGCAGGAGAAGACTATAAGAAGATAGCAAAGTGATTTCATAGTTGTTTCCTCATTTCGTAATGTAATTAAGAAATGGCAGTTAACAGGAACTGTGGAGGTCAAGTTGAGGTCGGAAGACTTAGAAAACTTTCCAAAAGAGCTGCTCATAGGATTGCTGAAAAGGCAAATCAAAACCCCCGTCTGACTGCAAAAGACCTGCAGGAAGATTTATCAGACTCTGGAGAGGTGGTGCACTGTGCGACTGTGCAGTGACACCTGTACAACTATGACCTTCGTGGAAGAGTCATCAGAAGAAAAACTTTCCTGTGTCCTCACCGCAAAATTCAGCGTCAAAAGTTTGCAAAGGAACATCTAATCAAGCCTGATGCTTTTTGGAAACAAGTCCTGTGAACTGATGACGTTAAAATAGAACTTGTTGGACACAATGAGCAAAGGTATGTTTGGAGAACAAAGGGTGCAGAACTTAATGAAAAGAACACCTGTCCAACTGTTAAACACAAGGGTGGATCGATCATGCTTTGGGCTTGTGTTGCAGTAGAGGGATGAATGGCTTCTGTTAATTTCCAGCAAATTCTGGAAGCAACCATGTGTAAAAAAGCTGAAGATGAAGAGAGGATGGCTTCTACAACAGGACAAGAGTTGACAAAAAACAATCTGTGTAAAGTAGAGGCCCCTAACATCTTTAAGATGACTCTTAGTAGTTCCACCAGAGACGTTTCTCCTCTGAGCTGAAACATGACACATGATTTCATTTAAATGACAGCTCGAAGCCGATCAGAGTAAAAATCCAAATTATGAATTTAAATTATTGCAGCACAGCTTAGATTTTTTTTGTCTTTCCTCTCCCATTAATCATCTCACAGCCTCTAAGATTTGTGATCTTTTGGAGGGCCAGACTCCTTACTTACTCATTTATAATACATCAGTATTAACAATAATGTTAGATAGAATAATGTATTAGTCACTAGAGACATTTATACATTGTCATACTGGCACTTTTACATTAGGAAAGGCTAAATTTCAAATTAAAATTTGATGCAAAGTAAATGTCTTCATCCAGAACTTGGGTCAAAAATTACAGCAACAACAATGTTTTGAGAGAGCTCACACTTAAAGGGCAACCATTTTCTCATGTTTTTGTGTCCAACTTTGTCATTTGGACACAAAAACATGAGAAAACGAATAAATGTGTCCGTTAAATACACTTGTTTTTGTGTCTGACAACATAATGACAAAAATAGCTACAGAGATAAACCCTTTTTGGTTAAGAGTGAGGTCCTTTTTGTTTAACCAGAAACAGCCTTGCGTCACCATTGCTCAAGCCACCACCACCACCACCGCCACCAGACTCCATTTAAATGACCAGTCATTTTATTATCATTAAACACACTTCATTCAAAGTCCACACAAACAAAATAAAACTCACAGAAGCTGTTGGTACATCTTTCCACTGTTCCATCAATTACCAACTCTGGTTTGGTTGAATTAAACCCTTTATTCACCCAGTTAGATGTGAAAGTATGCTGGCTCTACACATGCTAAAATTACTGTTTATTTAAATGGAGTCTGGTGGGTATGGCGATGGCAATTTTGAGGCTGTTTTGGGTCAAACAAAAAGGATCTTCCTCTTTCCAACAAAAGTCTATCTCTGTAAGGATACTTTCCATAATGTTGTCAGACATTTATAAGAACAATCTGAGCCTGACAGTGGCATGAATGAGAGGGCTGCAGCTGGCAGCCTGTTTCGCTGCTGCCAGCTGCAGCCGGCCCCTCTCATTCAGTACTGGACCAGTTTCAAAAACTTATGTTCCCATTAGTCACTTAGACACAAACATGTGGGAACACAGGGTCTAGGTTGAAAAAATACCAAAGTTACCCATTAAGTGTTCTTAACAACCTCTACATTTCATTTAAGTGTCCACCACCTGTATGTGCACATAATCCACTGTCAGAATAATCATGTCACATGTAAAATGAAGCTGCACATGAAAATAGAAAGTGGTCTTGAAGGTTAAACGGGGGTAAAGAGTTTGAGAATTAGCCTGCCTGATTAAAGAGTATTAGGTCTGACTGCTTGACTCCTCATTAACACTAAAAAGGCAGAAATATAGTAAAGTAATATAGTTGCTAGTTAATGACTAAAACTGTCTAATGTGGTAGTGTCAACATTTACTCTCAACATTTGCTCTCTTTTAAATTGAACTTACACAATAAAGCAGGCCTCCTAAACAAAGCCTTTAAATGTATTACTTTCATGAAAAATGTCAATTTTAGTTTAAAATTTGGAGGGCCAGTTTGATGGTGTGTTTAAGTGCCTCTCGTCGTGGTTTGATCCCCATCTCCTCCTGTCCAATAAATCAGCCTGGGTACATCATTAATGATAGGTTTTACATAGACTTTACCTAGATACAATGATGTTACTATAAACTTAATATTCAAGGATACATGAACTTTGATGTACTGTCACCTCTGTCTTAAGCCCAGGATATAATGAGGACCCAAACAGCTTTGATAGAACTATTGTCCTATAGCCCTCTTAAACCTCTAAACAAAAGCTTCACACAGTAATTGCAGTATGTTGAGGGAAGAGGCTGAAACATGCTGAGATTTCAGACTGTGCATTATAAACCCTTCATTACTGATTGCTCTAATAATCACTACAGGTACATGTGTCTACCTGTTGACTCAGTTATATGTACAGACAATTTATGTATTTAAGATTTTTATGTGACACCACTGTCTGTGAGGGCAACTATTGAGTAATTAACTTGACATTTTTAAGCTTCATGAGTTAATGGGGAATACATCTTGTTTTTTTGTGGTAGTGGTGGTATTGGGAGGGGGAGCAGATGCTACAGTCTTTAGAACAGGAATGTCCAATCTTTTTTGAAGGGGGCCAGATTAGCTGCTTCTTGCATCATATGGGTAATTAAAAGAGAAACAAATCACACACATATTACACAAATGCAACTTTTTCGTCTTTGAGTGGAAAAGTATTCCACTTTCCACCGTTCCTGAAAGCAGCAGTCCACATCTTTTACTTTGCGCTCCTTTGCTGTGGCCATATCTGCATCCTAGCAGGAAATATCTGGTGTAAGGTAATTGTTTGTTTGCTGATTTACCATCATTCTATGAAAACACATTAGCGCTGCCTGCTGGTCCCTATTTGATGCATGTCTACAAACTGTATTATCGTCTTGTAATCGTGACCTTGCTTGATTAACCAATATTGTGCAGAGGGCCTCTTAAAATTGGTCTACGGGCCACAGTTGACCCTTGGACATGACTGCTTTAGAACAGTGTTTCTCAGATTGGAGTATATGGAATACTGCAGCGGGTATATAAGATTTTTTTTAAATGTTCATACAAAAAAATATTAGTCATTTTCTAAAATAATTATATCACTAAACTAAAAGTGCAACTTCTTCAAAAGACGCAGCTCCAGTGCACCAACAACCCCGTCTTGGTGGTCTGCACGATGATAAGAAATTGGTTTGCCATGAATGATGTAGTGATGTAACCGGTCATGGGGTACTTGGCTGACAAATCATGTCTATGGTGGTACTAATTGAATCCAATAGAAGATCCAGTCCGTAAATTAGGGAACAGGCTCTGCTGAAGCTTTTATTTTGAAGGTTAACTTTCCTTAGTTCTGGTTTTATTTTGGTTGGCTCTGGACTTATAGAATATCCACAGAAATCCCTTAAAAATAAACGTCAGGGTTCCACAGAAACAATCAAAAACAATTAAAAAGCCTTCTGTAGCTTTCAGGGAGTAAAAAATCGAATAAAGGAGGATGAACCCTGACAGGAAGTCCTTCTAAAAAATTACTGACTTTTCTTTCTGAGTTTCTCAAGAAGGCCCTCATCATTCAGAGCACTGAATTTGCACATCAAATTGATGATAAGAAAAATATATTTTATTTCGAGGAAGTAACACATCTTATTTTTGTGAAATCAGCTGAGTTTTTCATACAAAACTGTTTGTGGCACGAACTTTGATGACACTTACAACACGAACAGAAACAGCTGGATAACAGTCGATTCATCAGCAGACTGGCCGACGAGCATTTTGTAAATAAATACCTGCTGTCAGACATGTCATGGTGAAAATGATCAAACACTCCTGGTGGCAGTTTAACATGTACCAGGCTTTAGGAAGTTCGTGTAGGTGTGTCTCTGCTCCTTTGTGTGATTATTATCTGAAAACACTGACTGACTCACAGTCCGTTGGGCACCGACGTCTT